CCGCTGTGTGCGGACAGCGCGGCCACGGCCGGCCCTTGCCGGCCGTCCGGCAACAACTCATGAACAATCTGACTTCAAATGGCATAACATGAACATAAGAACTGATTTAAACTGAAAACATGAATTTTGATCAATAGACTGAACTTGGCCGCGACGGACGCACCGTGCGCCGCCGACGGCGTTAAGCCGTTTCACGACCAATCACGATCTTCTCTCTGCAATCATACATGACTGATCATAAAACATGATTTACTGAACAAAATAACATGAATTGTTCGAAGGACTGGAACTGGACATACTCGACACACATGCACGGCTCGTGGTGCGCTATATGCGCGACCACGTCCCCTTGGCCGAAACCATCGCATAAACATGAACATTTCTCGAACAATAATGAAGGAATGATCATGAAATAACATAAAGAGGCTGATTATATAGCAATTGCTCGAGAAATTGCGAACTTAACATGATGGCTTAGCATGAATTCTACACACGGCCTTATGGCCTAAAGCCATTACATGAGCATGATTTCGACTAAACTGAACCTATGCATCACTAACATAATCAATTCAAAGGTAAGCTGGTGTTACCTTTGCAATCCTCGATTGACCACACCTCCGTGCGAAGGGGAGCTCTCGGTGGTGCGTGCGATATTAGCCCTTGCCGTGCATGCGATATGAAAGAATTAAGGTAGCTTTCTCACCTATCTAATGCTGGACTTACTATGATTTAGAGAGGAAATATAAGCCGAAAAAGGTGAGGAAAATCAGCCTAAGTACCCTCTTTATACTAACCGAAAGAAGGCCAAATTGTTTGGAAATGAGGTAGCATAAACGTGGCCTTATTTTAGCTTGACATTTGCTAATCAATTAGATGGTTTATGGGTGACTAATCACCCCCTTAACTCCCAACTAAGGACACGTGTGGATACTTATAAGAAGAATGAATTGGTTTCCTTCACTTTGAAGAAAATAGCTACGACTTTAGGAATTTTTAATGGGAAAAAATCCACTAACTTACGGCTTTAACTTGAAGTTGCGATTAATTTGCTAATTAATCACTTACTTATGTTTAATTATTTAATTAAACATAATGCTTAATTACCAAAATTATTCCGAACGTAAACGGTACGTCGAAAGTAATTTTCGGTAATCTCGACTGAAAATAATTAATTCCGAAAATTAATACTCGACAATATTAATATATCAGAACTAAAACATGATTTATACTGATAAACTGACGGGATATTACAGGGAAGGTCAGGAGGACATTGTAGAATTCTCGAATAAAGTTAAGCGGATCTTTATTGGGGAGACCGTGTAATGACGGCAACTGGTTATAATGAATCATCTTGAGCTCATAGTTCTGTGTAGCTTCTCCCAAACGAATGCATGAAGTGATTGGCCCGATCATCGGTTGGGCTAAGGTTCGGAGGGTGTCACGAGCCGTTGGTAGAGCCATATTTGGATTTGTTTGTTCAGATGATTCGAGGCTAAGGTTGTCGAACAGCTCCCTCACGCTCTCGTGACTTGGTTTGTCGTTTGGTTCAACAGTACGTCCACTCCTGGTATACATACACAAAGACAAAAGAAACTGTCACGAGCACCAGATAAACAAAGAACAAAGATAGAGAAAAACAACCAACATAAAATCAAGAACTATTAAACTAAACCAAAGAAACAAAGAGAAATACGGAAACAAGAAAAATTGCAAGAAATAAGAGAAACCCTAAAAAAATGAATATGCGCACAGTTAAAGTCTTAAACCCTCCCCGACAATGGCCCAATTTTGTTGTCAGTATTTTTATCGGAGTAGAATCAAAAAATTCATTCCCCGGATCGTATCGCAATGAAGGTTAGCCGGATTTAATTGTACGATTATTCGATCACCAAAAAAATAAGACAAATTCCTAAATACTCTAATTCAATTGTTTTGGGTTTCAATTATCATCTAATGACTTTAAACTAAATAAAATGCAATTTCAATATCAAATGAATTCACTCAATGATAAAAGGGTTAGGAATCGGGGATAATCGCTTTCGTTTCTAACACAATTACCGGCAATTGATTTCTCGGTTAAAGGACTTGAATCATTTGTCGTCCAGAGGTTCACTCTCAATAACTCTTCGTAATAAAAGAGTGAATGTAAATGATCAACTAACAATTCCAACAACACATAGAGAATACATTGACGAACAAGTCTATTCTAGACGAGTCTAAATCGACCAACATCTCCCCTCTCGATTTAAAATTTTAATTAACTAGGTTATAATGGTGATCAATCAATTAACCCTATAATTCACACAACTCGCATTGATATGAGCAATCAAAAGCATGCAATCGCAAACAAACCTAATCAATCATCCTCTATCCCTAGGGAATGCCTTTAGCTACTCATTATGAATTTAACATCACAAATCACATCAACCCAAGCCATCATCATCAATAAACAATTGAGAAAAAGAAATTACGATTAATATGAAATCCAAATGTCAATCCAAGTGCATCCAAATCCAAAGCAAGAAAAAAGGAGTTTTTCAATCTCCAAAACAAATCAGAAGTGAAAAACTAGTGAAAGGAATTAGTTTTCTAGAGAGATAAAGCATAAAACCAAAGTCTGGAATGGAATAGAATGCCCTAGGTCCAAAATCTGATATTAAATCCCGTATCTCGATGTTCATGTCGCCAAGTCGCGAGTCGCGACTGCCCTTTTTCCTCGGGTCGCGAGTCGCGACTTCCACGCGAGTCTCGCATCATTAATTTCTTCAAAATCTGGGGGTGGTCGCGACATCTCTAACGAGTCGCGACTTCCCTCTCACTAGTCTCGATCTCGCGATCTAGGTCAGCAGTCTCTGAAAATCTCGCGGGTCGTTACACTCTCGCGAGTTGCGAAAAAATCTGGGCTCCATTTTTCACTCCTTTCAGTCTTCTTCATCGTCTTCTGAGCTCGGCAATGGATATTCTCAATGATCCCGGACTTGGCTCGAGTAGTCCCAACCTCGACTGGCACAACCTACCTCCTGAAAACTCAAATACAGAAAAAAAAAACACGAAGCAAAACACGACAAAAAGACGCAAAAATAGAAACTAAAGAGAAAAACACAAAACCAAAGAAATGGACCAAATATGCTACGAAAATCCTACAAATGGGGAAAACAAAAAAGAAAATAAACTCGAAATAAAGACAAAAAAATGGGACAAACAACCGTCCGACGATGGCTGCGGCTCCGCCCAGTTCTGTCGCGCACTCAACTGCTCTACTGCGGGCCACTTCTTCCTCACCCTCATCGACAATACCAGGCCATTTTTGAAATATAGAATCCCTAGCTGCCTCCATATGTGTCTCGTCTCAATTTGCCGCCTGGATTGAACTATAAACGGAGGTGACCGACAAATTCCGAATTGAGCTGGAGGTGACCGGCGATTTCTGGCGAGCGGTTGTATCTACTGTTCAAGACTCCATCATACACCTATATCGACATTCAGTCCGACCTCGTCGACCACTGGCATGCAGTTGTTTGGCCTCGATTGCAGCACCTTCAGTCTGAGCTCGTCGACCACCAGCGTGTCGTTGTTTGGCCTCGAACTAGGTGGAGAAGTAGCGAGATCTGTGATTCCGATGAACTTCACCTACTCAGCCTCATCCCTGGCGGCGCGCGACTCCAGTGGGATGAATTGGAGGACACCTGGAGGCTGACGGTGGTCATCGTTGGGTTCCACGACAGCTATGGCGGGTGGCTCGGATACTGGCTGACCGAGGTTGGAGGTCCGGGCTAGGAGGTTGTATGAGACTGCACTGATTTCGCGGTAGGAAGATCGCCGGAAAATGGGGTCGCCGGCACGTGCCGCAATATTGTTTTTATAATAATTTATTTATTATATAAATAATATTATATAATATTAATTGAAATAGTAATTATTATTTTTATTATATAAGTAATGTGCATTATAATTGATTAATATGAGTAATTGATCAACACAAAATGAATGGCTAAGATTTAGTCTCACGTACTCATTTTTTGAAGTGTTCTCATTGGATACACCCCTTATATATGTAGAGAGAGGAGAGAGAGAAAGGATCATATGCGAAAGAAGCATAATGAAAGAAATAAGAATGAATGTGAATCTTTTAATCCGTCAAGTTAATGGTCATGATCAAGTCAAAGTTTAATAATGCCAGTTAAACTTATGATGCGGCATAATTTCAAAATTGGTTTTATAATTTGGCCACTTTCCAAAAAACCACCCCGCCATTGGCCACTTTCATTCTTGGTCCTAAAAATTGTCCATTTAATCAAATTTGGTCATTTTCTAATCAAATTTTGTCCTATAATTTGAAATTTTGGTCCTTTTGTAATCTCATTTTAATCCATATTCTGGATAAAAAGGACCAAATTTGATTAAAATGTCAAATTATAGGACCAAGTTTGAAAGTGGCCAATGGCGGGGTGGTTTTTTGGAAAGTGGCCAAATTATAGGACCAATTTTGAAATTATGCCCTTATGATGCCATTATGATAAATACTTGGAAATTTTAAAGTAAAATATGTATAACTGACCACAAATTAAAGGTATAATAGTAATCACAAAAATTATAACTCACATGGTGGACCCCACCCAATCTCTCTCATATATTAAAGCACACACACACACACACAAACATCACCACTCACGCACACATTCCACACACACAGAAACAATTCACAAAAACACACCAACATGACCCTAGTCGGCGACCAACGACCGCCGCCACCTCCACCAACAACCTTCCTCTACCTACGACCGTTGACCGCCAACAGCCCCGTTGATTACGTCACATTTTGTTGTCGCTGCCATTCCTCAACCAACTCTGCCACCGCCACCACAGACCCACCGCCGGTCCACCATAAAACTCACCATTGCCGATCTCCGCTATCTCCCACCATTTCTCCACCACCGTCACTGTATGTTTCAAGGTACAACTACAACATCTCTCCCGAAGGCAGTACCCCGTAGGAATCGAGCACTGGCCATGGTCTGGGGGGCGGTTCCTCGGTGAAATACCGAGATACATCTGAAGGTTAGAGAACCTCACGATCTTAAAATACAACAGTAATATGAATTTTGAGGAAAAATTTTCCGGTTGAGGAGCCGGCGGGCGGGGGCTCACTCTTTCGGCGGGACCGACCATAAATTTCAATTGAAGGAGTTTGTGAGGTCGCCGCCGGATATGGCTTCGGGCTCGGGTCGATTGAGGTTACGACGAGTATCTGCACGGCGGTCCGATGGAGGCTGCCGGCTGAATTTTAAAGGACGTCGGGAGAGATGAGTTTGGGAATGAATTGGGGCTGGGCTAATTTTTATAGAATTAGATTAGGTGCAAGGATTTTTATGAAATTTTCAAAAATTTAAATATATACACTTTAGTTCATGGATTAGATACATAATTTATAAAAAAATACTAAATGCACAATAACAACAAATAAAGTGCACTATCAATAATAATAATAATAATAATAATAATAACAATAATAATAATAATAATAATAACAATAATAATAATAATAATAGAGTTCGATTATTTTAGTTATTTTAAAAAATAAAGGTGACTTTAGAACTTACATAACTGAGTTTTTATAAAGTAGAAAACTAATAATTGAACCGAAAAAATTAGTAGGGTACGCTCGCGATCCCCTTTCTCTCCCCCAAGAAAACCCTCGTCGTTGCTCGTAAGATTTTGGCGAATTCGCCTTCCTCGGCGACGGTAATGCTCAACTAGGGGTCGTCCTCAATCGTTTGTTTCTTCCCTGGCGAAGTGTGCCCCTATTGCGGCTACAGATGGTTCATGGATGGAGGTCTCAGGTTCGCAAATGCTGATGGATTTCTGGACGGTGGTGGCGCACCTCGAGGTCGAAGTAAGGCCGATGATTGAAGTCTTTTCAGTTGCCGGCGGAGCCGCGATTTGTGACGATAAGCCCTGCTTTCTCTTCTTTGTCAGCGATTGCAGGATTCGGTTGTTTCCAGCGAGTTTTACCTTTTCTGGTGGGGCCCAGGCCGCTTATCGTTGGATGTCCATGGTGGTGACGGGTGGGGTGCGAGCCATTGGGTCGGGTGGGACTCTGGTCACCGCGGCTTTCCTTGTTGCGGCGGTTGGGGTGAGGGTCGTTTTCTCTTGCACAATTCCCCATTTGACTAATGGTGTTAGGCGGCGGAGGAGGTTCTATCGGCCTCGTCTATTGGTGTTAGAAGAGTTCGGGTAGAATCTGTGTGGGGTGGACTCTCGCTCTCTCAGTTGTCGATGGGTCGATTCGGGGATTGGTTCGGAGTTAGGTTTCTGCTATTGTATAGGATTGATTGCAGTTTCGGTAGCAGGTTCGCCTGGATTTGTCTTGTGTAGATCGTTCACTGCTGGTTCAGGCTTGCTCAGTCGCAGTGGAAGGGCTGTTAGATTTATTTAGATTATTTGTGTTCTTGTTTTTTGTTTTTGTAGTTGTGTCGTGCGTGTCTTGTGTTTTTGATTTGGGCGTTGGCCCCTGTGAGCCCGAGTGTCAAACTTATTATCCTGTTGGGATCTGACACTCGAGTTTTTATTCTAGTGTTGCTAGTCGAGATTCTAGGCGGTCTCCTGACCTGTCCTCCCACTTTTTCAGATGTTGGCTACTGTGTATTCGCATATTTGTGCATTTTGATTTATAATATCATCTATCGTTTTGGAAAACAAAAACAAAAACAAAAAATTTAGTTTGGTTGATTTTTGATATTGTGCAACATATAATCATTAATGTGCAATCTATATAATCATAATGTGCACGCGTAGTACATAAAAATATATAAATCAAAATAACAATATATTTCATATAGCTCGGTTATTTCAAATTTGATCGAAATAATCAAAATATATAAATTTTAAAATTATCGAATTCACTTTATTTCGGTTGAAATTATCGAAGTCAAAACATAAATTTTAAAAATAACCAAAAATATATAAGTTCGGACTTAAAAGTTATAGTTATTTCAATTTCGATTTTTAATGTGCAGTCTGTCAAACGTTAATGTGAAATATGTATAACAGTAATGTGTAGTGTCTCTGTCGCTATTGTGCGCTATTGTGCGTCTGGCGTCTGTACCAAATGGACTTTTTCCCCACCAAATTAAAACAGAACTGAAATACATGGTTTATTTGTCCGGTTAATGAAATTACCATAATTATTATAAATAATCTATTTTTTTATATTATGAAAATAATTAATTAATTTTTGAATGATTTTATTTAGTATTTTACATGAGTTTTTATTATAAATACACAATATATGAAATGCCAAAATTCACAATGTGCATTTTTATAGGCAATAATGTGAATTTAGTCCAGTCGTATTGTCCAATCGATTGAGCGGGTATTTTTATGTGCATTTCAATTAGAAAATATTTTAACAATGTGTATTTTTAATTATAATTATTGTGCATATATTAATTTATTTATATACTAAAACTATATCTAGTACGAATATTTTTTATTCAATATTTTATATTATTGTTTGTTGAGATAAACGATATATAAGATACAAAAATATATATTTTTTTCTATATTTCGGTCAAATATTTTATTGCTTTTTTTAAATAAAAGACGAAATTAGACAGAACAAAATAAAAATTTGATATATGTGAAACAATGCACACCGTTGTGGTAATGTGCATTATTCGATGCACTAATGTGCATTTGATATAACACTGTTGTGCATTCCGTCAATCACAAACGTGTGCAGTACTTTTATTTTTTATTTTTATGTACCTAAATATTTAAATTTATTTATTATTTATTTTTAAAACTATATTTAATATTTTAATAGATTTATATAATTTTTTTTTTACTTTTTTTTTTAAATACATAATATATATTTATAATTATATATTTGTACAAAAAAAATATATATTTATTTTAAATCTATTCTTCCCCATTCAAACTCCGCTGCATATGTGGCTTTTTTATTTGTCCGACGAGGAAGAGGCGGAGACAAATCAAAGCTCGTAGGCGGGGGCGGAGGCTGAGATCTATGGCGTCGAAGACCGTCGAATTTTCGACGAGTGTGTTTCAGATGACAACGGATATTGGAAGTTGAGCACGGCCGGATTTCAGACGACGTTGGAGACTGTAAGTTGAGGACGACTAGATTTCAGACGATGATGGAGACTGAAATTGCAAGAATATAGACTTTTGAATTTTCCGGCGGCAAGTCTTCTGAGTCTGTTTCAGTTAACGCCGTTGACTGGATATAGCGGACGGAGTACTGCGTTGACTGGAGAGTTGGCCGGAGTTTTGTGATGCGGACGTGGTGGCGGCAATGGGCGGCGGAGGCCGAGGTGTGTATGGTGTGTGCTCGTCTTTGTTGTGGTGGGGAAGAAGTTGCAGGCTGGTCGGATGAGAGCGGCGGAGATTGGTGATGCGGATGTCGAGGAACAACCGTTTGGGCCCTCGAGGTGGCGGCTCGCTGACGACTGTAAGAAAAATTTTGACGGGCGATGAGAGAGAAATAAAGTGGACATGCATGTTGGTTAATTAGATGTGGGGCCTACGGCTATAAATTGGGTTGGTTGGTGGTGTTATGACGTGGGGCCCACTGATAAATTATTTAGGGGAATGAAGTATGTAAATATATCCATATTACCCTTAATGACTATCAACAGGTGAATTTTTTTATCCGTTAGATTTTTTGATCTAATGGTCGAGATGTATTCTTATTTTTTTCATTGACCATCATTCTCACTGGAGCGCAGCCCTATATTATATATATATATATATATATATATACTAGCATGTTATCGCCGTGCTGTGCCCACGTTAGAATTTTTCTTTCAAGTCAAAACATTAATTTTTGTAATTGAAAACAATGGGAAATAATGAAAAAAAGTAATACAATATTGAAACCATAAATAAAAGATTTGTCACTAAATGTACCACTAAATATACCGCATCGATCAGTGTCAAGATCTGTCACCAAAACCCGAAGGAACGTGGGTCAGTTGCTATACTTGTTCAGTTTCCCTTGCATGTGGACCATCTCTTAGCTCTCGAAGATGGCCATCACTCTGAGTAAACCCGCACTGTGGGAACCCCTCGAACCCTTAATGAAGGGTACCACTTTGTTTCACCATTAGCTGCACGTCACGGTCGGAGGTCAACCAGAGGTTAGCCGCAGGCCCGCCTTCTTGGGCAGGGCGTTTATGACCCATGTCGAGTTTCTGGGTTGGTTTCCGGGTGAGACTTTGCCACCACGATTTCCATGTTTCAGTAAGCACGTTTTTGTCGGGGTCCTCTACCGCTGCAACCTGCAGAAAATATAGATGAATTGCGAAAAATGGATGAAGCACGAGCGCACGGACGCAACTACATTGTTTTTAGGGAGCACTGGGCCCCTGAAGTTTTTGAAAACATTAGGATTGTAATATTAATTTTAATTTGAATTAAGTGAATTCGAGATGTTGACACTAAAACTATTATGGAATGATAACACAATATGACAATATAAACAAAAATGCTATGGTGGTGTGTTATAGCAGAAGAAAGTTATTTGATTTTTAATATCCATGAGTGATTTCATACATTTGCATTATGGGAGTTGTATTAATATATAGTTTACCCCGAAGATTTTTGTTCCCATGAATTATATTTCATCACTGATCATGAGAGAAGTGTTTGTTTTCTTTTATCATCAAGAACTCTTCTAGCTGAGAGCACATGAAAATCAAATGTCTAGACATCAATTTCAATTTTTTGTACAAACAACTCAAGCTTCAAGTTACTGAATCACATTTCTTTCCTAATCACATCATTACATACAAGTTTGTTTTATTTTTCAGTTTTCACACGATTTAAGAGAGCATATATTATATTTGTTTATAAAAATAAACTGAACTAATATTTCTCTTCGTCAAATATTACGTGGTTCTTTGCGACCAATTATAAAATAGAATTTCATTTGCAAAAATAAATTTCCCACAATATTTTGTGTCTAGTGATTGTTTTAAAATGAACTTCCGATAAATCAGTAAGCTTATTTATATGGTAAACTTATACCGTAATTGACAAAAAGACATGTACCAAAGCAGTAATGCATTCATTTATAAGTTCAATAATAAGCATTAACATCCTACAGCAGAAAATATATATATATATATATATATATATATATATATATATATATATATCCATTGGATTTATTCATTCAATAATCCTTAAAATTTAAACTCACTATGCTGATAATAGAAATTTGATCCAGACCAAAACATACCAACCATCTCAAGCTCAAGCCTTCCTAGATTTGCCTGCTGCCAATTGTGAATCGGGCTGAAAAATAAATCAGGAAAAGAAATCATTCATGAACCTGGGAAACTATAGTATCAACTAATATAAATATTATTTGACAAATTCAAACCAAAACCATAAAAACAAAGATAGTTACCTCTTTCTTGACAGACTCTTCTTTCTCAGATAGAATCAACTCGAAGTAACAGGAGAATGACATGTAAGCTGAAAGGAATTTCCTCATGTTAGCAACTAAGAATTTTCATTGAAAGAGTAAATATGTTCCAAACTTAACATCTCAATTCACCACACAGAACAAGACATTAGTTAGAGCAGATATAACAATTGAAGTGCAGAACAATTCAAACTTCAAATTACACATTAGTTTAAAAGAAAATGTTAGACATACGATTGATTCGTCCATGAGTACGATATGTGTGGCACCTCTGCTTCTGGGCCTGGTTAACCTGAATGTGGGAAATAAAGAGTGCATTCTCATCCAAACCTTTCACCTGAAACAAAAAGAATAATGCTTTTAGTGATGGGTGCAAATGTTTCAGCGGGCATATTTATTAGGCCAAAGATATTATTTTGCCATTCTACAGTTAGCATTTGCTGCATTTTCACAAGCTTTGTGAAACATTGAGTTATTTTTATAGCACAAAATAGGGGAAAAAGAGAGAAAGTGATAGAGAGGTTAGCCATCCTAACCATGTACCATAATCAGTGTTTCTCTCAATTTAAATAAACTCACAAACTGTATGGGTGTAAGAATTTAAGTAATTTGATCAAAATTGAATGTACGACCTGTACCAAAATTTTATGTGTTCGCTAACATATTCATTTATGGTTTACAAAAGGTTTAGTCTGAATGCCCTTTCTTTATCCCACCAAATTACTCCATCAATTCTAAGAATAAATTGTAAAGATAAACAAGAATAATTAATTGACATACCAAAAGTGTTATATGATAATTGTCATGTGTTGCGGGTAAATGTGTAGGGTAATCGGGTCGGGTAATGGGTTTGCCTATCATACCCACACCCGACCCGACTCGGGGTTCGGGTAGCATAATTCTACCCTAACCTGACCCGAAACTCAATCATCTCGGGTTTATCCGACCCAAAAATGCGGGCAACCCGCGGATAACCCGACCCTACGAGTTTTATTGACATCTCTAAACGCACAGGTCTCAGGGTTGGAGAAATAAAGTGACTAAACGAGTTTTCAGATGGCGACGTGGCTTAATAAGAACAGGAGGAACACGTGTCAAAAAAATAGGATAGGACTTCTTTTTATAGATAAGAGAATAATAAGATATCTCTCTTATATCTTATACAAACAAGTTAGTCCACTTCTATGGCTGACACGTGTCCAATTTTGAATGCTTCTATGAGCAACACGTGTCATGTGTTCAATAGTTATAACAACCCCTAAATTTGTTGTCTTTTTACACTTATTGCCATCAGATGCGTGTTGATTGAATTGTTCTGTTTTTCTCTTCTTTTATGCGGATTTCCCGCACACGCAAGCAGTCACATCCCACCACGATTTCAGCAAAAAACAGGATAGATATGGTTCTTTTTACTCCAAACCCCAAACCAAAACCAAACCAATACATTCATTTTCTCTTCTCCAAAACGCTGTCGATGAAATTTCTCTTCCACCATGCCCTCCATAAGTATAGGCGGAGACCGCCTCCGCCTCTTCGAAGCCCTAGCCCACAACCTCAACCAGCGCCTCCTTCTCTAGATCTCCGCGAACCGAGGACAGTTCCGAGTGCCCCTCCGTCGAAAACCTCGTGGGCGTACCGAATCTAAAGGATCTATCCACAGCGGCGGTGCGGCTCTTCGCCGGCGATGCCGCACTTGACGCACAAATGTTGTCTGGTACGACCTTGAACTTTGTCTCCTCTTTCTTTGTTCTTTGCGCCTAATACTCAAGTGTGCTTATTTTTCTCTCTTTTCCCCTTCATTATTGGGTTATAAATTTCAAATTTGTGTCCATATATGCATACAGAGCTTCATTCCATGTAGGAGCGTGGTTTAGAGAAATTTGTCGGCTAATACTTTGAGAATTGTAGGGACGACTGAAGATGAGCAAGACGATTGAAGCAACGATCAATGATGTCGGGCGGCGCGACAGCAGGCTGATGGTTCATCGGCTAGATGTCGGGGATAAATCTCACAGAGATTAGCGGATAAATCTGCAAGGGTGGCATTTGTACAGCGACGCTTGTAGAGACATAAAATTTGTGTCCAATCAAATGGCGCCACGTGGAAATTAATTTATTAAAAATCAAGTTATATTTTCTATTTATATTTTAGGAATTTCCATAAATTTAATTCTTAAATTTAAATAGTTAATTAATTAATATTTTAATATTTTAATTCTTGACCAATCAAATAATGCCAAGTGTCAAATCCTTATTCTTGGTAAATAAATCATATCTTCTAGAATATCTTAGAAGATTTAAGTGGATCTAGAATATCTTGGGAGATCTAAGTAGATCTTAAAAGATCTTATGTGAATCATCATGTACCAATCAAATCGCGTCCTACGATTCTTAAATTTGGTAGGGTGCTCTCTCCTACACCTATAAATAGGGGCTCTCCCTAATGTCAAAAACACATATCATAATTTATATTTTGAAGTTCAAGAGCTCTAGAGAATTCTCTCTACAAGTTTCAAGTGTTCTTGAAGATTCGAAGCCGTTCTTGAAGATTCGAAGGAAGATTCAAGCACATTCAAGCTCAAAATCGACGTTTAATCTGGAAACAAGCTGCCAAGCTTCCGAATTGCGTTCATATTCAAGTTCAAGTTCAAGATCTCTCGACGAGATTCAAGTGTTCTTGAAGATTTAAAGGCGTTCTTGAAGACTCAAAGCAAGATTCAAGCGCGTTCAACCTCAAGACTAGCGTTCAATCCGGAAACAAGCTGCGAAGCCTCCGAATAACGTTAGTAAATTCAAAACCGGCGTGAAGAAGATTCGAGATCTACTTTGCGGCGAAGACCAAGGATTCGTGTTCTTCGCGTTCTTGGGATATTTTGATGTTTGATCCGGGAAAAAGCTTTCAAGCCCTCGGATTATGTTAATTCAAGTCAAATCAAGTCAAGAAGAAGATCAAGCCGAAGATTTCGCTCCAAGACTTAATATATTTTTCGTGAGAAGAATCAGAGGAATATATAGAGATTGTAACCCGCAATATTTATTTTGATTCAAGAATTTCATTTGAATAATATTTTTCGTGTTTTTAAATTCAATTCACGAAATTTGTTGTTACAAATTTTTTGGCACGCCCGGTGGGACTTCTCTACCTCTCATCTCTTCTCCAAAGTTCCTCAAGTCATCATGACTAGCCGCAAGATTGCCGTAGTCAAGATTCCTTCAACAAGTTCCTCAAGCTCCAACCTCGGCGTCGTCACAAGAAGCATGGCCAAGCAACTGCAAGCATCTTCGGAGACGGCTCCTTTGCACGAGGTGATTGGAAGTGATAAGCTGCATCTTACCCACGAACGTGATGAAGACGATTCTGCTTCTTCAACTCCTCGTTCATCATCAAGTTCTTCATCAAGCTCAAGTGTCGCTCCGGCTATGACAACCAATGCTTCAACTCTTGAAGAGCACATCGCAAGCTTAACAAAGGTTATTGAAGGGCTCGCAAAGAAGGTCGAAGAGCAAGACTCTCAAATCTCGAAGCTAATGGACAAGGTCAACAATGCTGAAACAAGCCACGCGAAGGACAAACGAACTGAAGATCACGAAGAGTCTGAGACGTCCAAGCAAGAGCAATATAACGAAAGAGAAAAGACTCCATTCCAACATTCGTCCACGGGAATGATCCCCATTGATCAACTGAAAGATTTCATCATGGGGACAATTAAGGATAAGCTTGATGGTGGTTCCAAGTCAACCCACAGCTACGTCAAGCCATATTCACCAAGGATCGATAACTTGAGGATGCCTATTGGATATCAACCTCCCAAGTTCCAGCAGTTTGATGGCAAAGGCAACCCGAAGCAACATATAGCCCACTTTATTGAGACATGCAACGATGCGGGAACCCATGGTGATTATCTCGTGAAACAGTTTGTTCGTTCCCTTAAAGGGGTTGCATTTGACTGGTACACTGATTTAGAAGCAAACTCCATCGATAGCTGGGAGCAAATGGATCACGAATTCCTTAGTCGCTTTTACAGCACAAGACGTACGGTCAGCATGATCGAGCTCACTACATCTCGACAATGGAAGGAAGAGCCAGTCATCGACTACATCAATAGGTGGAGGAACCTAAGTCTGAATTGCAAGGATCGTCTGTCTGAGGCTTCTGCCATTGAGATGTGCATTCAAGGTATAAGTTGGGGTCTTCGTTACATCCTTCAAGGTATTCGGCCGAAAACATTCGAAGAGTTAGCGACTCGAGCCCACGACATGGAGCTAAGCATGGCCGCAAGCGGAGCTAATGGTCCTCCAATTCAAGAACCCCAAAGCTCTAAGGATCGATATGAGCAAAGAAAATGGGGGAAATTTTCCTCAAAATCTCAAAATAAGGAGTCCATGACGATCAATGCTATGCCTGTCAAGTTCAAAGGAAAAGCTGCTGATAAAGCCATTGAAAAGAAGGATGTCCCCAAGGAAACTGAACAAAGAAGATTGACTCTGAAGGAAATGCAAGCAAAGCAGTACCCTTTCCTTGATTCAGATGTCTCTGGCATATTTGACGATCTGATGGAAGCAAAACTCATTGAGTTACCCGAGATGAAGCGTCCTAAAGAAGCTGGCAGGGTGAACGACCCAAAATATTGCAAATACCACCGTCTTGTAGGGCATCCAATTCATGATTGCTTCATATTCAAGGACAAGGTTATGCAGCTGACACGCCAAGGAAAAATCTCACTGGAAAAAAGTAGCGCAACTGCTAATCATATAAGTGAAGCTTGCAACATGACGAATGAGCACGAAGCTCCGCTAGAAGAAAACAATAGGCCTGAGGTTGAAACTCACCATGTTGATAACGATTCCATGATAGTCTTTACTGACGAAGATTTGCTGCTTGGTTCTAAGCCTCACAACAGACCGTTGTTCGTGGCCGGCTATGTGCAAGAGCAAAAGGTTAACCGAATATTTATTGATGGAGGATCAGCAGTCAACATCTTGCCTCTTCGCACGCTAAAAGAGTTGGGAATGACCACCGAAGAACTTGGTAATAGTCGATTGATGATTCAAGGCTTTAACCAAGGGGGGCAAAGAGCTCTTGGCATCATAAGGTTGAGGTTGCTGATGGAAAATATGGAATCAACTGCTATGTTTCATGTCATCGATGCAAAAACTTCTTACAATATGCTTCTCGGTCGTCCATGGCTTCATGAGAATGGCGTGGTTCCGTCCACATGGCATCAATGCTTCAAATATTGCAAAAATGGCGTTGTGAAGACTGTGCTTGGTGATGATAAACCTTTTACGGAGGCTGAAACTCATTTCGCTGATGCCAAATACTATTTCAATGATGCAAAACCAGTTGAGAAAGTCTCGTCTAAGCAGCATAAAGGGTCTGAAAGTGAAGAATCAAAGATTGAAGAGGTAGAAAACTCTTTAAAAGAGTTAATGTTGCTGCTGCCGAAGATAAATGACGGGAAACCTATCTCCCAACCACCTACGAAGTTTGTTCGTCCAAGCAACGGAGCCGTGGCGGAGCATGGTGAAAGATTGAAGAACTCAAAGTGTTTTGATCCAAAAGCCTACAAGCTTCTCGTCAAAGCAGGATACAACCCCAATGAAAGGCACTCTTTGGGAAAGCTCATACCTCAAGAGCAAAAGCACAACCGGGCAGGTCTTGGTTATGTGGTACCGAGTCCAATTAGAATCGCCATCAAGAGAGCAAATGCAAATCATGTCTCGGAAGGAGAAGTCGCATCCGCTAACGTCATAAACAAAGGGCAAAGGGTGTCGGTGTTTCAAAGACTCGGTCCAGTTCTGAAGTCTAAGGGCAAACATTCTGTGTTTCAACGACTTGGACCCTTCAAGCAGTCAAAGCCTTTAAGACAAAAAAAAGGTATGGGTTCGACTTTAAAGCTTAGAAGTCGAATTCCGTCACGTATGAAACGTCAAACCACTTTGATCATATCATGTGGTGAGGTTTTAAAGGCAAAAATGCCCGCGATCGTCCATACAAGAGCGCAGGACGATGAAGATAATGATAGAGAAAGTGTTGGTTCGTCTTACTATGCTTGCGATACTCTTACAACTCCTCGAGATGATGAATGTTCTCTTTACCGAAAGATAGCATATTTGGTGAGAAAGGGGTACATATCTAGAGTTGATGAAAACGTGCAGACACGGCTTGTCACGGGAAGAAATGGACGGGTGCGAGCATGTATCGACTTCAAAACTCTTGGTGAGCCGACCGAAGACATTGCACCTGTGAACCATATCACTATATGCGAGGATGCTCCAATAGAAGAGGAAGATGCTGAAGACGCACCTCCCGAGCTTGAAGAAGGTGTTAAGGCCACGGTCGATGAACTAAAAGAACTCAACTTGGGTGATGTTGACGACCCTCGCCCGACGTATATCAGTGCCTTGCTAACTATAGATGAAGAGAAGGCCTACATAGAGCTTCTTGGTGAGTTTAAGGATGTATTCGCATGGTCATATAAGGAGATGCCTGGACTAGACCCAAAGGTGGCGGTGCATAACTTGTCCGTGAGAAAGGGGGCAAAACCTGTTAAACAAGCACAACGAAGATTCCGACCTGAGTTGATCCCACTGATCGAGGCTGAAGTAAACAAACTCATTGAAGTTGGATTCATTCGTGAAGTCAAATATCCTACGTGGATCTCGAGCATCGTTCCTGTCAGAAAAAAAATGGCCAAATTCGAGTTTGCGTAGATTTTCGAGATCTTAACGAAGCGTGTCCCAAGGATGACTTCCCGTTGCCTATAACTGAACTTATGATCGATGCTACGACTGGCCACGAAGCATTGTCTTTCATGGATGGGTCATCAGGATACAATCAAATACGCATGTCTCTAAAAGATGAAGAGTTGACGGCCTTCCGAACTCCAAAGGGTATATACTGCTATAAGGTGATGCCATTCGGCTTGAAGAACGCTGGAGCAACATATCAAAGGGCAATGCAAAAGATATTTGATGACATACTC